GGAGAGTATTCTGTCTTCTTAACGTGAAGTTTGCAAATGATCAGATGGCTACCACCCTTTCTAGAACCAAAAAGCAAGAGCCTTACCTTATTGAGAAACTTAATACTGCTCTGACGCCATAACGTTTCAGCCTAGCTAATTTTTTCAGTAACAAAAAGTAGACTGTAAGATAAATAGACATGCGAGACTCAAAACGTTCAATTTTTTTTTTTTTTGCTGAAATGAAATTTCATCCATTGACTAACCCCTGAATGAATTGGAAAAAAATTGAAACTTCTGATGTTCTTATCCATTGTAGCGTTGATAGTAATCTTTCAAAGTTGTGTATCCTTGGTAGCTTTATTTTGCATTCAAGTTTTGATAATAGTTTTTTCTCTCGGTCCTATAGAGAAGCCAAGGACAGAAGGTGCAGTTTCAGCCGCAGGGTCTTTTCCTCATCCAACCAGCACAAGATTTATTGCTTATGAAGAACTTAAAGAAGCAACAAACAACTTTGAAGCAGCAAGCTTACTTGGAGAAGGCGGGTTCGGCAGAGTTTTTAAAGGGGTCTTAAATGATGGTACTGCTGTAGCAATTAAGAGGCTTACTAATGGAGGGCAGCAAGGGGATAAAGAGTTTTTGGTTGAGGTTGAGATGCTTAGTCGGTTGCATCATCGAAATCTTGTAAAATTGGTGGGATACTATAGCAATCGTGACTCATCACAAAATCTATTATGCTACGAGCTTGTTCCAAATGGAAGTTTGGAAGCCTGGCTTCATGGTAATATGATCTCTTAAATTATAAGTTGGCAATAATCTTGAAGTCTATGAAGTATCTTTTGTTTCAGAACTAGTTTTATGCACAGGATTAAAACTGGCACTATTTCTGCAACAGGTCCCTTGGGAATAAATTGTCCTTTGGATTGGGATACCAGGATGAAGATTGCGCTTGATGCTGCAAGAGGACTTGCATACTTGCATGAAGACTCACAGCCCTGTGTTATACACAGAGATTTCAAGGCGTCCAACATATTGCTGGAAAATAACTTCCATGCTAAAGTTGCAGATTTTGGTCTTGCTAAGCAGGCACCTGAAGGCAGAGCTAATTACCTGTCTACTCGTGTCATGGGCACATTTGGGTTTGTCCCAGTCTCATCTTGTTTGGGCTTCTTATTTCCATATAATAAGGTTCTTAATAAGATGTAATGAAACTGTTGTGTAGGTATGTAGCCCCTGAGTATGCCATGACCGGTCATCTACTTGTTAAAAGTGATGTTTATAGCTATGGGGTTGTCTTGCTGGAACTACTGACCGGAAGGAAACCTGTTGATATGTCACAAACAGCTGGACAAGAGAACCTGGTTACTTGGGTTAGTTCTTCACCTTGACCTATTCCATAATTTTTCCTCCTCATGAAGTTCAAATCATAGTCATCTGGCTTTCTGTGTTCCCTTAACTGGAAATATCTCAAGACTAAAGTTGCGTGTGTTCTTTGGAGTTTTTATGTTAATAACTTGTTGTGCGGGGGTTGGTTCCATACATTGACCTATCCATTATCATGCTTGTTAAATCCTCCTCGTCTGTCCTCTGGAGTGATTTGTGGGTGATGGACAATATACTTACAAAGCTATATACCTTTCAGGCAAGGCCAATCCTAAGAGATAAAGACCGGTTGGAAGAGCTTGCTGATCCAAGGCTGGGGGGAAAATATCCAAAGGAAGATTTTGTCCGGGTTTGTACCATTGCCGCGGCCTGCGTCGCACCTGAAGCAAGCCAACGACCCACCATGGGGGAAGTGGTACAGTCACTTAAAATGGTGCAGCGCATGACGGAACATCAGTGTTCCATGGTGGCCCCTTCCAACACAAGGACTAACCTAAGACAGTCCTCTACCACTTTCGAGTCCGATGGGACATCTTCTATGTTCTCTTCAGGTCCCTACTCTGGTCTAAGTGTCTTTGACAATGACAACGGTTCTAGGACGGCAGTTTTCTCTGAAGATCTTCATGAAGGAAGATGACACTTGGAAAGACAAGCTAACCTACAATCAGCGTCCATTTCGAAGTTCGTTGCCTCAATCTAGAGCAGCCTTCTTTCCTATGCCTGAAGGTTTCATAAGCGGCGACATTTTTTAGTAAAGGATTGCAGTTTTCTAAATTTGGCTGCTGAGGGTGCAGATTGTACTATTGTCGCGTGTTTAAGATCCTCCGGGGCAAACGGTCGTCTTGTTTTTACCGGGTAGGGGGATCAATTTTTGTACATATCACATGCGTTGTAGATTTTTTCTTCCTTAATTTAATCTTTTTCGTTTGAAATTGCCAGCATTTTAACTATAAATAATCGTGATGAATCGCCGATTTTGCTGACTCTTTTAAACTGGTTTTATCCAGTGATTTTTGTGTGGAGAATTGGCAGGCAAAGATTGGACTGAAATCACGTTACGTATTCAGATTTAAAATGTTTTATTCTCAAAGTTCTAAATTAAAATATTTTCAAATAAAAATTGGAAAAATGTATCTGATTGATATTCTAAATGTATGAGAATAAAAAATATTTGTTTTTTTTATATCAGAAAATGAAATAAAATTCAGGCCGTTCGTGTTAAGGTAAGATCAGATATGGGATGAAATGAGTTGAGAATTGTTTGAAGATGATTTTGCTACGAGTCCATGACGTAACAGATTTCAAGATGGCGGTGCCAGGGGGCATTGCTGGAATCCGAACTTACCGGACCAGATGTTAAAATTGAGGTTAATAGATTCACTTTAGTATATAAAAAAGGGTAGATTTCAGAATAAACCCTATACATAGAAATCCTATTTCTGCACAAAGGAGGCTACAGCCCCCCCACCATATTTTAAGGGGTCTATCCTTGCACTCCCACCTCTCCAAGGCCAACGACGACTCGTTTCGCTGCAGGGGATAGAACGAAGAATGGATTTTAATGGGAGGCTCTTCTTCCTTACTACCCTCTCTTCTCTCCTATGTATCAACGCCACTCCTTTGAACGTAATCCCCTCCGCGGTCCCTCTCGAGCTCGGACAACTATGCAAAGACACAGAGAACCCAGGCCTCTGCATTCGAACCATTTTGCCAACACTGCATGGTCGTCTGGATCCCTATCAGGCTCTCGTCACCGAAATCGACGCCGCCGCCCACTACACCAGGAGAGCCCTCGGTATAATCGATAGGCTAATGGCCCAACCAAACAACCCTAAAAGCTTATCTGATAGCCTTAGCACATGCAAGGAACAGTATGGAAACATCCTGGATTCTATTCAAACTACATTGGGGGTAGTGGCTAAAAAAGCCATGTATGATGCTCGGGTTTCTCTGAGTGCGGCGATTTCGTACCAACAGACTTGTGAGGATACCTTTAAAGAATCAGGAGTTGACTTACCTTTTGCTCGTCAATCTAAACATATATTCCAACTCACCGGCAATTGCTTGGACATTATGCGAGCCTTGGAGAGTTGATTAATCAACTGCGAATTGGAGATGGAGATATTGTAATGGCTGCCATTTATTTCTGATATCTGGTTCTATAGCAGAACTATTGCTCCACCCACGCAAATATATACATCAACTAAATTGACACATTAATGTCACATTCGCAGTTTATTATAACTTGTTTCTTATCTCTGTTGCAAATTGATATCAGAAATAAAGTAATACCTATCTTCAGCTTTTAATATAAGTTTTTATTTGATTTTTATTTTAATTTTAAATACAAAATTTTAAGTTATTTTGTGCTTCATATTTATATTTTTTTAAGGTAGTTTTTCTAATAATGATAGTTGTTGTCAAGATCCTTAATCAGCAAGGATATTTTAAGAAAGACAACACATATTTATTACAAATAATGTAATCTCTCTAAATTAATCAACTAGTTCTTATAATTAAGGTGGGAGATGATATTTCATATCTTTTTGGAGAAATACCGACTCCTATGCTGCAAAAACTTACCATGAGACGCTGGTGATTACGTTGAGCATATCATCAAGACTTTCCCGTTGGACGGACCATGTTGGTAGCAATAAAATTTTGCGGGCCAATTTCTCTCCGGGATCACCCGAACTGAATTGCTCTTCACCCGAGGCACAACAGTTTCCAACCTACTTCTAACATGATTATCTTCGTCGGTTTGATTTCTGCGCTTCCTTTAGAAAAGTCTTGTTTGCAACCTTAATCTTCAAAGAAACAAGGACTTCAAAAATTTGACAGATTTTTATATATGCTTATTGTAAACACGTGGTGACAAAAGAGTCAACGGAAAAAAAAATCATCTCTGCGTCTTCGGAATGGGAATCGAAATTCATTAAGAAGGGCCTGGGAATTGGGGAATTGGACAAACGAGGGAAGCATCACATTCATGAGTTTCCATCCAACTCTTTCTTTTCCTTTTTCGATGCATGATTATTGAGCATCCACAAACTTATTACCACGGCTCTCAATCCGCCGGCGTTCATCATACTTTTGATAAACACGTCACTCAAACGTACGTACGTACGTATGTACGTACTGGATGTATTTTGGCCCGTCATATAATAAATTATTGATTTATCATATTTAATCAAACCTCATTTAAAAAACAATTGAAGAAAAAAATATAGGTCCAGGTCCTCAACTTCTTCCTATAATAAAGTTAGAATTTTTCCTAAGAAAATAATTTTTATAAAAAATTAACCATTCATGACCTTTATATATAAATACGATTTATTTATTTTTAATTATCAACGAGAATAATCATCACATTGGAAAATTGGTAAGTAAAAAAAAAATCAGATTAGAATGACAAAGAACACGTGTGACGCACAGGGGAATAAAGAAGAGGAGGGGAGGATCTAACGTACGCCGGGGGAGGCGCACACGCTTGGCATGCGCACAGAGTTGCAGCATAACCGTGCGAGCATAGAAGAGGAGGGAAATAAAAAGCGGAGGGAGAAGTAAGAGGGTTGGGCATCAGACAGAGACACAGAGTGAGTGAGTAGGATCGACGAGTCCGAGTCGAGTGACTGCATCAAACAAAAAAAATAACACATAGGTGGGTTTGGGTGTGGAATTAGCAAAAAATGGTGAACAAGGAGATAATTAGTCCTCTCTCACCTTTACCACCAGCACCACCTCCACTCTCTCTCCACTATCCCTATTCCCATCCAACTCCTCTAACCCTAATCCCCAAATTCATCTCTTTCTTCTTCCGTCGTCTTCCTTTTTCCCTTCGCTTTTTCCCTCCGCCTCCGCCCGACATTTGGCTTCAAAGCTCTCTGCTTTTCTCTTACTTCGGTTCTCCTCCACTGCATTCCTGCTTCTCGCTAGGTTTTCGATCTTTTTGGTCGGGGAGATTTGTATTCGACCTCTGAGGTAATAGAACCTTTTTCTGCGTTCTGTTTCCGTTGTTTACTGGGAGATTATTTTTTCTCGGCAATTTAGATTTCGATGCCAATTCTTCTCTACGGTGTTTCGTCCTTGGTGGATTCTTGGCATTCTGTTTTATTGGACGTGTTTTTTTTTTTGGTTATAGCGATAGATCGTCAACCTTGCCCTATGTGAAGGGTTAGTGATTTATCGTGGTTGGATTTTTATTCTTTATTATATTTTGCCTGCGCAGATGATAATGTGTTACTTCAGATCATGTTAGGATTGCTTGTGACTTTGGTCTCTTTACTCTAAATGAAGTACGGTTTTTTACGGGTTTCTACTGCTTCATTTGGTTTTCTAAATCATCATGTAATTTTAGGATGATAAATTTTCTTCGAACTCTTTTTTCTCTCTCTCTCTGTTTTTTTTTTTTTTTAAACTCTTGGCCGTTGACATTGGCAGTTCTTACTTGTGTTAAATTCGGTTCCTGGTTGCATCTTAATTTTCAGCGTAACTTTGCTTTCGTGCCACCTCTTTCAATTTACCTTTTTCGTGCCTATTGCGGGTTATCTTTAAGGGATTCTGTGGTTTCATCGCGTCTACATCAACACCATTAGTTTTAGTAATTTAGACAATAAATTGTATTCTGGTATGCGTTATATTATTTTTCAAGATGACTAAATTAATAGAAAATACTTAGTCTTCCCTTTGCCCTTGTGTTGGTTACTCTGAAAAGAGAATCTTTTGTTTTGAAGTTACGGGTAAATAGATTTCTATAATGAAATTGTATTTTTTTTTAAAAATGATTTCTATAATGAATGGCCCTTGATGTAATTATTGATAAGCTGCGTGGTTGTAATGGTTTTTTTCAACTTACCATTATTGCAGTTGTGGAAGAAGCAGCAGAAAAGCTGTGCTATCATAAAAATTCTCTTATGGAAGACTTAAGTGGTACACGGTTTGATGCTATTGGCATTGCAGTAAGGAAGAGGAGGAGTCAAACTTCTCGCAGACCTCGACCTGATTCACAGCCTACTTCTGAAGGACATGATCTGTACCCTTTGTCATCTACATCACCTTCAGATGACGTGGCCAAGGCTTCTAGTGATGAGAATGCCGGTTGTGATTCTAATTCTAAAAGAAAAGAATTTAACCTTAACCAATGTTTCTCTCGAGTCTCCTCTTCTGCCACACCCGAAAATGATAAGCCTCTTAAGAATAATAAAAATGACGTAGGATTCCATGTGTTTTATAATAATGAACCTAGACAGAGTGGATTATCTAATAAACGCTGTAGTGAAGGTGTCCTTGCTCCTGCTAATTGGAAAGGCTCTAGCAAATTAAAAGATAGCTTGGAATCAGAATCAAAAAGTGGGGATGCGAATGGTGGAAGGAATTTGGAGTGGCTGAATTCGGAACATTCAGGAGTTCATCCGGATGGAGCAGGGAATGAAAGCAGGGTTAAGAAGGTTAAACTCAAGGTTGGTGGTGTGACACGGACTATTCAAGCCAACTCTGTATCTAATGGGGCATCAGGAAATGGATTGGCTGTAAAGAGCTCTCAGACATCTGATTCTTTCAAACAACGTCCAAAGCAAAAGGTATTTTTACTTTTGGTTACTCGATATTCATGAGTCATACCTTATTTGGCCAGCTACATGTCTTACCAAGTTAGTTTTATACTTTTGGTTACTTGATATTCATGAGTCATACCTTATTTGGCCAGCTACATGTCTTACCAAGTTAGTTTTAAATCTTACTTGTATTGAACAGTATCTGGTGCCTTGATTTCTCATTTATGAAGGTAATAATTGCCCGACTCTTTTTAGCTCATATTATCTCATTTAATTTTTTCATTGATTGGTGTTGTTACAGGGAAATTCAGATGACAACCATTCTTCTTCAGATAAGAGGAGTGGCCTCCAGGGTGTTCCTTGGAAAGATTTCCCTAAGGGTGGTTTTGGTTTTGGGAAGGAGGATTCGATCATGGGGAAAACTCATGGGAAGAATGCGTCAGGTAAGCAAGGGGACAGGTCTGAACCAGTTCGTAAGAGCAAGAGAGTACCTAAGAGACGTGTACTTCATGGGGAATTTAGTGATGAGGAGGAGGAGGATATTGAGATTCGGTACTTGGAAAAGCTCAAAACTTCAAAAGTCTCTGCAGTTTACAGAGATGATGAAGAAGTAAGCAAGAAGCACAGAAAACTTTCTAGTGTCTCTAATATGGAAAATGCTGCCTTATCAAGGTCAGTCAAGGATGACAAGAAAAAGTCCAGATCAGATAGAATTTATGAGGATACAGATTATGAGGAAGAAGAGGAGACTGGGTCTGATGGTGAGCGTGACGATAGGAAAAAGAAAAAGCAGAGGAAGGAATCTGTTGATGTCTTGATGGACAGTAAAAGAGAAATAACTCTTACAACTCGCCAACGGGCTCTCCAATCAAGTAAAGATGCCTTGGCATCTGGTTCAAGTTTAATCGAATTTCCTAATGGATTACCACCCGCTCCACCTAGAAGTGAGAATTTATTACCATATTATTTTCTTATTTGAATTTCATACCTCATTCATCAGCCATGTGACTTTATATTTATATTGTTACTTCATAATTGCAGAGCAAAAGGAGAAGCTTTCAGAAGTTGAACAACAAATAAAGAAGGCAGAGGCTGCCCAGAGGCGAAGAATGCAAGTAGAGAAAGCTGCCAGGGAATCTGAGGTTTGTTATTTTTTTTTTTTAATTTCCTTTCTAAATTGTTATGTTTTTTATCTTCTTATTTCACACTGAAAAGACTCATGACTGCTTGGATTCATTTTGCAGGCTGAAGCTATCAGAAAAATACTCGGTCAAGACTCCAGTAGGAAGAAACGAGAAGAGAAAATGAAGAAGCGCCAAGAAGAACTGGCACAGGTTTTACAGCATTGAAAGATTTTTTACATGCTATTTATTTCGATTTTCTGTATAGATACAGTTTTCATTGAATTATTCCCCACAGGAGAAGGCAGCCAATGCACGAATGCTTGCGTCAAACACCATCAGATATGTGATGGGTCCTGCCGGGACTACTGTGACATTTCCTGAGGAGATGGGCCTCCCTAGGTTATTCAACTCCAAACCTTGCGGGTACCGAACTCTGCTAATTCAATTAATTCATAAGTTCAATGCACTTTTATTGTTTGATTGTCGTCCAGAAGCTCTTATGTGTCTTGGAAAATAAAAATAAAAATGAGAAATGGAATTTGGCCTTGAATTAGTAAGACATGCTGCGTGCATGGATACCCCAATAAATTTTTATGTTCTCAGTTTCTCCTTTTTAATTGATCATCGATCAAAGGTTACGAGATATCCCCGGACAGAGAAAAGAAAAGTAGTCAGAATTAGTCCTGAGCCTTCTTTCCCATCTGTCGGCGTGAGAATTTGTTTGGCTGCATCCATCGTGAATCAGATATTGATGCATGTAAAGTTATTGAGCAGATAAATGAAAAGGTTCTGTGCTGATAAAATTGTATGGTGTTGTGGCAGGTATCCTCCACCGCGAGAGAAGTGTGCGGGTCCATCTTGTGGTAACCCATACAAGTATCGAGATTCAAAGTCAAAGCTCCCGCTTTGCAGTCTCCAATGCTACAAGGCAGTCCGGGAGCAGATGGTGCCTGCAAATACCAGTTGATGTTACCTAAAGTCCCTCTATCCGCGACTTCTGCCAGTTATATATGGCTTCACAAGTGTTTATATCTCTTGGGTATAGATTTAGGGTAGATCGATTCTGAGCCATTGCGAGAGCTAATGTTGCGGATTGTTCGTTTGCTGCGCCCTGCATCTTTTTGGGTGATGGTGCGAGTTAAATGAAAATGAATAACCTTTGCTCTAGTTGCATGAAATTTAACGTGATAATATACAAATTGATGAAGCAGATAATGTCTAGCCGATCCAGGGCCGCTCTGAACATATCAGTATCCACCTGAGTAAAGATTCTCAGTGGTTTTTTCTTTTTATTCTTTTTTTTTGCGTCAAAAAAATTACAAGCACAGAAAATTATTCTAACCCATCCTCATTCACCGCCTCCCTTGGCCTTGGGCAAGGTGGTCCCTCAATGGTCTTTTAGAAAGCAAAAACAGTCTTCCTCTGTATTTTTCAGTAAGAAGATGTTTGAATGGAATCAAAGTCATGATTTTTTATACCAAAAAAAAAAAGTCGTGGTTTTCAAATTACTTTTATAATATACAAAGTAAATATATGAAAATGTTTATCTTAATTTATAAAAAAATGTTTTTAAAAAAATACTTTTCATGATTGTCAAAAGAAGTTGTGATGATGTGTGGTATCATTTTATATCTAATGGGTCGTGGTGGTGTATGTGTGATTGATTCTCAAGCCACATTGTGACAGCCGCCTCTCAATAAATTCGGGACGGATTGCAAAAATTTATTTTCGCATGTTTAAAAAATAATTGCTTTGAGCAAAAAGAAACTTATTATGATTGTAACGAAACATAAAATAATTTTTTATTTTTTCAAAATCTCTACACAATAAATTGCTTTTTATAAAATCTCTAAATTATGTCAAAATAAAGTATTTTTAATCTTAAACAAACGATTTTAAGTTTATAATATCAATATATTCTATTTTATTAAACTGCATTAATAAGTGGCCTGAGGTTCTTTGCGGGGGAGAATGAAAACAGTAACGAACAAAAATATATTTTAAGATATTACCCAAAAAAAATTGTTTTAAGAAAAACAGCTCTATGGCTGTTCATGCGTTGCGTGGTGAAGTCACATACATTGAGAACGAACGCAGCTCGGAGATATTAGTTGGTTACTTTTTGCCAAGGAACACTCTGCTCGCTGTTGCTTCTGAGCGCCGTCGTGCCCTTCGTTCATGCGGATAAGGCCTGCCGTAGCCCCAGTGAATTCCATACCATAGCCCTCAAGCAAATCCAAAAATGGCTCATACGTGCGTCTCCACCCAGGCATCCTCTCTTAGATTCAACCCTCTTTTTCTTTCGTCGAGCCCTAGTTCTTGTTCCGACACTCAGAAGCTTTCTTTCGCCTCGGAGCCTTTCAGGTCGAGGTAATTTCCCCTGATGTTCGGGTTCTATACTTGTAGTCCGGAAATTTGTAAACTTTTCCCCCCCTTTTAAATGTTATACACTTTGATTGAAGCGTTTGTCTGAATGAATGATGTGAGTCTTATGCCTTCAAGAGAAACCAGGAAAGGATTGATAAAAACAATGACTTTACACTTTGGTGCTGGTGATAATGGCGATATTGGACTATTTTGACTATCATCGTTGGTTTAGATTTCGAGAGGAATGATGAATTAAACATAAGCAGTCCTTGAGTACCTCTTTGTTAACTAGCCAGATTTTACTAGGAAGCATATTTCGTGAGAAGGAATGACGTCACGTTATGATATGAACAAAGTTGCTTCCGTTTAACAAAGCTGTAGGATTTCTTCACTGAAGTCAAATGATCAATCTTGGGTCGCGGGCTTTGAACTTAATTGTAAACTGATTTGTTCGGAATGAAATATTATGTATGGTCCTTATCTTGTTTATGCTTTTGCAATTGAGCCTCGAGGTGAGGAGAATATCGTCAGATATCCCTGTAAGATGTGTCTTTACAGCGGATGAAGCTTATATGACTTGCAGGAAATTAAGAAATTCGTAGGAAATAAAAGGAATACTCAAAGCTTTCCTGTGAAGGCGGTGTACGCTAATGATTTTTGGGCACCTCAGGGAAGTTCACGCCAGGGTATTTGGTCCATAAGGTATAATTTTTCTTTTTCTTTTTCTTTTTTTTTCCCGTGTTATTCGTTTAAGATTTTATATTGACTTGCTCTTAAAATGTTCTTGAAGAGATGATTTGCAAGTCCCATCTTCTCCATATTTCCCTACTTATGCGCAAGGACAAGGTCCGCCTCCCATGGTGCAGGAGCGTTTTCAGAGTGTTATAAGTCAGCTTTTTCAATATGTAGGCCATTTTTCACTCTTGTAAATGTTATTAAGGTTGATTATTAGTTTTGGTCTTCAGCTATTGATTCTAAGCTGTGTTGGATTTTAGAGAATAATCCGTTGTGGTGGAGCAGTTGATGATGATATGGCTAATATCATAGTTGCTCAGCTTCTTTACCTTGATGCTGTCGATCCTAGCAAGGTCTGTTCTTCAGTTTAGTCACTAAAAATTTGGTTTACCTTTTCATATCTTAGTTTATTTAAAACAATCTTTTGCATTTCTGGAGTATGACATCAAATACTAATATGTTGGTATCTTGTCATTTTGGTGTGATTACTACCTTGAATGTGTCTTTGATTCTTTCTAGTGTGTGTGTTACCTTTAATTTTTGTTGTGCTAGAAGTTTTTTCAATTGACTAGTTTGCCATGTTTTGAACAGGATATTGTCATGTATGTAAATTCTCCTGGAGGATCAGTAACAGCCGGTAATGGCTCTTGAAGTAGCCGTGTTGTGTCTTTTGTTATATACATGCATGCATACATATATATACAGGGTAAAAATGATGTGATTTCATTTTCTCTTTGTAGGTATGGCTATATTTGATACAATGAGACATATCCGACCTGATGTGTCCACAGTTTGTGTTGGGCTAGCAGCTAGGTAATGGTTCATCTTTCTTTCGGATGGGATCACCTTAATTCTGACTTGATCTAAGTATATGTCAAGATCACAACCTGAGGGCTTCTTTTGCTATGGCCTTGAAATTTATTCGTACCAGCTATTATCAGAGATGCACCATGGTGTTTGAATTCATGATGTTTTCAACAATTCTTGTCCCTGTTGATTTATGTTCTGGTTCTTAGATACATTATATTCCCAGTTCTTCCAAAGATACGGTCTTTCTTCTTAGGGGTAAAGCAATCGGAAATGGCAATGAGATAAAAGCCAAAATACTTTTTTTGTGTATGAATAGTTCCTAGAATTCAAACTCCCCATTAATATTGATAATTTCTCTCTTAGGGGTGATCCATACTTGACCATATGCTTGTTACTTTTGGTTTTTAGAGATGTTTTGCCCCTTTAATACTTAATATAATAACATCTATGGCCTTTTCTTGAGCAGTATGGGGGCTTTTCTCCTTAGCGCTGGGACTAAAGGTAATTATTCCTCTATCTTGTAATCACTGCATACTTTTGTCCCCTTTTATTGTTTTATGGTAGATCTCATTGTCATTTTATCTCCAAGGAAGATGCGTTCTTCTAATACCTCATCCCTTTTCTTCCTTTCGCTTGAAGGGAAGAGATACAGCTTGCCTAATTCAAGGATAATGATTCATCAACCGCTTGGTGGAGCTCAAGGTGGCCAAACAGACATAGATATTCAGGTATAGATCCTGTTTGTTATTCCATTTATTTCTGACGTAAACTGCTTGTTTGCTTTTAAATTTCTGAATTTATGTGTTCCAGTTAGTTTATTCTTCTGGCTTTTTTTAAGACTCAATTTTGTGGTGATTGAGGTTGATGGGTTTGCACAGGGTAAACGTGCAAGTTGTCAATATAGTTAATATTCTGAATTTGGCCCCTAGTATGTCTGTGTCTTTCTCTGTGTTTCTGCGTGCGTGTGTGTGTAAAGTCAGTTCCTACAACCTGGATTTAGAACTGATTTTTTTTTTTTGACACCTGTGACATATGGTATTTCATACTTCATTTTAATCCGAATCCTTGAGTTGGTCCTGTGGTTAAGTAAGAGGTGCTAAAATGTTCAATAGTAGTTCAGGTTGTCTGTTGCATGTTAAGCTTAAGTATTTAATTCCAGGCTTCCTGATAATTTGCTGAAATTGGACGAGACAGGTTCCACAATTGATTCTTGTGTTGATTTCGTTCCACAAGTATCATAAGCCTTTCCGGAGAAAACTGATTCTTTTGCCATAATCTTTCAGGCAAATGAAATGCTGCATCATAAGGCAAACCTGAATGGTTATCTGTCGTATCACACTGGCCAAAGTCTAGAAAAGATTAACCAGGACACAGACAGGGATTTCTTCATGAGTGCAAAAGAAGCCAAAGAATATGGACTTATCGATGGTGTCATAATGAATCCTCTCAAAGCTCTTCAGCCATTAGCTGCTGCTGCAGAGGGCCTAGATCAGGCTACCGTCTGAATTTTGTTATGCACCTTAATGCGGACAAATGTCTTAGTGTAAAAACTAGAACAATTATTTCGGCTGTTCGTTGCATCTGCATTGCTTAATTTATATCACCGTTCATAGCTTTCCAACTGTATAATAAGGTGGTGAAAATTTTATTTCCCGTTTTGCTTTATGCGGAGAGACGCTGGAGCTATAGATTCACAGCAGGCGTTGTCCTTCATGCATTTTAATTTTGCTATGATGATTGGTCGTATATTAAGTGATTTTTGGTTTCTTGGCAAACAGTTTTAAGATGAATTTGTTATATGGTGTTCAAAAATGTCAAGAGTTCATAGTGGTTGTGCAAAATATAGTGAACAGAGAGTATAGAAATCACGGTTAGGTAATTAAAAATACCAATGTGTATTATTAAGATTCTATATTTATAATTATATTTAACTTTTAACTAGTTTTTATATTATAAATTGAAAAGAGTATTAATGAGTTAAATCCATATTTTCATCACAACTTTGTGAAATTAAAAATGATGAAGTGAAGACCCGACTCCCAGTAATAGTGATTAGATAAATCTCCTGTCATAATTTAGCAAGGCAAAAGCGTGGCAGAATACAAACGATGATTCCCCCCAAAATGGACCGGTACAGTGAGAACACGAGGCTGTAATTATTTTTACTATTTTTATTATTCACTTGAATTGATAATAGGAAGTATACTTTTCATCTTTAATCTTCACACATCAAGTCTCGAAGTATACTTTTCATCCTTAATTTTTACACATCAAGTAACCTGTTAAAGTTGAACAAAGCTCAACCAGTTTAAGTCTTAATTAAATCTAGAGTTAAGGTGAATCTAACACTCCAAACTATTTTTTTGGATGCATTTAGTACTCTCAAGTATTTTGTAGTGTATCCAATATTTTAAAGTATTTTTTAGGTGCATCTAACATCATGAAATATTTTTTTTTATCTTAGTAATGGGTACACCAAAAATACTTCGGGTGCTAAATATATCCGAGAAAATATTTCAAAACGCTGGATGTACCTTAACCTTTAGATCTAGCCCTTTTTTTTTTGTTATTTTAGAAAACTTAGTTTTTAGAGATTAAAAAAAAAAAAAAAGAACAAGAAACAAACTCTTTCGTTTTGGAAATCGGGTTGTGTTTTTCTAATCGAAATTCCTCACACGCACACCATAAAATATATTATATTGTGATGCCAAACAACAAAATAGCACAAGGTCTACCATAACCAAGCCTCATAGAGAAATTAAGAACTGGACTGGCTAAAATAGTAAAATGAGAGCTCTCGGGAGAAGACCATAACCCATATTTAAATATTGTTTCTCCAGACCAAGTTCTAAGAAATTAAGACATAAATGGTCAAGGACTAAATCAGATTCTGCTATCCCACATCACGAGTCCTTCAAGTTCGATAAAGAAACTGCGACTTGCCACACAAAGTGCTGCACTAAAGACATGAATCATGATCGCGGAAGACCATTGCCTTTGCCTCCCCCCATCACAAGGATATCTTGGTGCATTGGAATCTCCCAGCTTTTGAATGCGCTTTAAACCACTATACCAGCACACTTGATGCAAGTCTCATTTCTAGTCCTTTATTGTGCCACACCCTATTAAAAAAAAAGTTGGAATAGTATATATTCGTTCTAAATTGTACGATTTATGTATTTGATATATTCGTTATTCATTGAATAATGCCAACAAAACAAAACAAAACAAAAAAAACACCGAATTGGTTCAGGAAATGAACTACCCCAATTTCATCATACCAGATAAAGGGCCCATTTGAATTACTGGTAAAAAAAATAATTTATTTTCAATTTGACTTTTAGAAAAGTGAGATTGAGTAAAAATTAGAGTAGATAGTTTGATTTATGTTTGGATTCACTTTTATAAAAGTTAGTTTATAAAATAAAAAAATTGTTTGAATTATGACTAAATAAGTAATTTTAGTTTTCCGATTGACCAAAATGAATATGAGTTTTATTAAATAATAAAAAAATTAAAAATAGGAATTTACAAAATATAATAATATGAAAAAGTTATATTTAATTAATAAAGCATATTTAAATTAGAAATGAAATTTTTTGAATCACATAATATTACGTAATTAATTAGATGACATATTCTATATAATTTATGTAAATATAGAATGAAAAATAATATTAAAAATTAAAAATATTATAATAACTGTTAAAAATTATTTTAGAATATTAAAATAAATAACTAAAAACTGACTGGAAATTACAAAAAATATATAAAGAGAAGTATAAGAACAACAAAGATATAAGGGTAAAAATATCTTTTAATTTTAAAAAGTTACTTTTGTATAAGTAATAAATAAGTTTTAGATGTTTTTATAATCCTACTTAAAAAAATAATTTTTGACCTATAAATCATATTGAAAAAGATTTATAACAAACAGTTTTTAAATTTATAAATTGACTTATCATATTTATAATTATTCCCTCCCTCCCAAAAAAAAAAACGTCACGCCAGACAGACTGAACATCACCTTGCAACTTTCAGCAACCCTCCAGAGGAAAAGGGAAAGCTTTTTCTATCTCATTAACACGTGAATCTCATTCTATCTTTTAATGGACAAAAGTTTATGGTATAAAAAACCGTTATAGGTTGAAAGAATATAAACACAACCCTTAAAAATATCGATGATTATCATTATTAGTTTTATTATTTTAAGGTAAGCGCCTTCGTCTTTTTTTTTTTACCAGCAGTAAGCACCTTCGTCTTGACACGGTAGAAATTAAATCGTTTAATAAAAATTTTAACTTTCTAAGAATCTTTTCATGTCAGTTCTACACTATTACAGGGTTTTTGGTAACCTGCAAATCATAGTTTCAGAAATACTTTTTTACAAAACAAGACAAATTCCTTTATAATTTTATTTCATAAACTATAAAAGCACTTCTAAAACTATAATTTAATTTCAATCCAAACAACCCCTAAAGCTTGTTGGATCCCATTTTCCCCTGAATTAAATTAAACGACAAAACTACCCTTGTACCGCTTCCTTCCATCTCCTTGTCTCTGACCTGAGCTGCAGTTTCTTTCTTTCCCTGTCAGTGCCAAATTTAATCACCCGCCATATTTGCCAACCACCCTTTCCCGTCGACGACAATATGAGATGTACACAAAACAGAAAATTAATATAAATACTCGTAATTGAGGACTTAGCTCATGTGGGTATGGCGTATATATGAACATTCTGGTAATATTCTTCTAGACAGCAAGCACTAACCAAAGGCTTGAATCATGACGGGGCAGCCGGAATCCTTTCATCGGAAAAATTGTTCCTCATCAACTTCAACAAAGACGGAGACATGGGTAGCTCTTCAAGCTCGTCGAAGAAGTCAAGTTCCTCCGATTTGAGCGTCGAGAGGTTCTTGTGCTGAGAATAACCGAGGGGCTCTTCCTCCAAGAGAAGATCCATCCTCTCTTGCGTTTTCTCTGGGTTCAATTTGAAAAGATCCTCTCGGTCAATAATAATGTCTTCAGGACAGCCTATCGGCGATTGCAGGTAATGAAAATTTTCTTCATTTGCACCTTGATCGCTAGCTGTTGCAAGTTGAAGATCTTTCTTCTCTTCCTCGTGGTCTTGGTCGTCTTTCGCCTTTGAAGTAGCAGGTGAGAGATCTTCAGTAGCTTGGGTTTTCGATTCTTTGCGGGGTAATTCTGGAGCTGGATGATTATGTGAAGAAGTGTAGGTGACAATGAGCATTGAAGCATCTGTTCTGCACCTTTCTACTTGCTTTTTGGCCGAACAACCTTTGGATGTGCTGCACCTGTAATAGCCTCTGCGGCAGACAGACAGACAGACAATGAAGTCTATTTGTATGAGCAGCCTCACAGTAAAGAAATCACAAGGCATGCATTAAATTAAATTTCACTTTATATCTGGGACGTGGGAAGAATGTAAACCTTGGATAAGGGGATCCTTTAATAGGCTTTTGTCCATATTTCCTCCAAGACCATGAGTCCGATGGTAGCCCTTCATTCTTCACTTTACTAACATTTTCTCCAACTTTCACCCTCACAACTGTTTTCTGAACCATTTTCCTGCAACATGCACACCTCAGAACTTGCTCAGCAAACAGTTAAACCAAATATCCCAAATTTGGAAATGACAACACCTAAAATTCTGGCTTTTCATTTCATTTTCTCCCAACCAGAAAAAAGTCCAACTCACCTTTTTTTGGATTCTTGAATTTCTGGTGTGGGCGCTTGAGATGCTTTTGACTCAAGTTTAGGCGAGATAGTGCCCTCCATAGCAGCTCACAGTGCCTTTCTTTGTTACTTTATTTTCGCTGAAAGCTTGAAAGATATGGTGCTCTGATGGAGGCAAGGTTAGATCATTGATTAGAGAGAGGGGGAGAGAGAAAAGAAGGGCAGAGAAGGGATGATGACAAAGGCCTCGAGTTGCTGTCTTTCTTTCTTTTCACTCATTTAATTTAATGTAAAGCTAGGAGCAACTAAGCACATATCAATGTGAGCCCACCTTGCAATATAATAAACACTTAACAACCCCCGCACCTGTTGAGCTCAGCGTGGTCCTGCTCCGTTACTACGCTGAATTCTTTTCTGCCACGTGTGAGTCATGGATATCCTTGCCCAGTGCGTCTTGCGACAACCACTCCAACATACTACCGTCTGCGAGGAAACAAGCAATTGGGAACTTCCAGATTGCAAGTACAGTTGAATTGCTTTGCCTTTTGGATTACTGTGGAGTGAATGACCATGGCTTGAGCCACGTTGGGGATTGCTCGTTTATGCTTATCCTACAAAAATAAAAACTACACATTGGCAACATATTAGAAGAGATCACTGTTTTAAAAGGGTTCTATTAGCCTCTCTTCATTTGAACTGAGCCACCAGTCATTGGCCGTGTCTATGTATGCTCACCAGAATCGGTGGTGCTAACTCAGCAAAGCGTGATTCGAAATTGAAGCTCGTAGGAACGAAGGTTGACCCCGTATATGCAATACCCGAAAGTATCGGACTTCTCCATATTCCCCGGGGCATCTCATGTTATGCAGAGCATTTACCAGCGCTGTCTATGTCATAAAAAAAATGTCTCTGAGTTGGTAGTTGTGATTATTATAAGCTCATCAATATGATTGGACCTCGTACTTCATTTTTGTTCGTGGGCATGCATGTTAAGGGAATTGCAAGTCTTCGTCGCCGCTAAAAACAAAAACCAGAATCCCAAGCATAGCAGGGTAGTTGGATCATCATGGGCTTTTTGGCTTGACTTTGAAGGAAGCCCAAAACAGCCTGGGCTGAACCCTGGAGCACAGTTTACGGGCCCAAAAAGACACCCGTGAAAGGAACCACTTTTTTTTTTGGGAAAAAATAACCAAAAAAAACTGAAAATTATTAAATATTAAATAAAAAATATTAACAAAAATTTATTGTTATTTATAAATTTAGTAATACAAACACCAAATAAAATATTACTACTAAATATAATTTGAGATTTAATAATTTTTTAACGTGTTTTGTCATTTTTTTAAAATGAAAAGCTGGATGACATTACTCAAACACAATAAAAGATTATAGACTAAATTCTCTCATTACTCTCTGCCTCTGGGCATAGGAGTAGAAATTAATCAAGAATACAAAAACTGTTAACAATGTAAGATAATCTAGCTATGAAGTGAGCTGTACGATTTTCTTACCCGCTAACATGATGACTCTGCACTACCTAATATGAACCAAAAAAGGGCTTGTTCCGAAGATATATAGAGGGTGACGCTTTTTCGTTCCGAAAATAACAATAAAGAAAAAAGACAATGAACAAGGACCCGGCACCCTGGGTTTCTCCGTGACGTGATCTCTTTGGCAGCTGAGAATTACCAACTCCACACTCACTGCCCCGCGCCCTTTCTTTTCACTAGAGCCGGTAATACGGGCTGGGCCCGCGGGCCCAGCCCGCCAGCCCGCCAAAAAAGGCGGGCTTGGGTTGATGTTTTCCCAGCCCGCCACGGTGCGGGCTACTCTAGCCCGCACCGCTTTTGGCCCGCTCCGCCGCGGGCTAACCCGCTGGTTGGCGGGCCAGCCCGCCAGCCCGCTTTTTTTTTTTTTTTTTTTTACTTTTTCTGATTTTTAATACATTATATAATATAGTTAGATGATTTTGACCATTAAATTTCATATGGACATTACCTCATCCATATCATTATATATATAATTAATTAAGCACTTCATATATATGTATGGTTATATATATGAAGAGCACTATCCATCTTTTATTTTTATATCTATTTGTCGTTAGTATGCACGGCTTCATAAGATTAGATAAATATGTGATTTTCATATAGTCATACATACACACACATAAAAGATTTACTTAATTAATTTGGATAAGAAAACTAGTTAAATTAATTATTTATAAAAAATATATATGTTAGTTTTTCTTAAATTTCTTCTAATATTATAAATTAATTCTCTTTTTTTTTTTATTAGGATCCATTACTCAAGTTTAAAACTCGGAGCCTAATTTCAACATTTTAAATTAGGCTTAACTCATACTAATATAATAAATTTAAAAAAAAAAATTTAGGCGGGCTGGCGGGCTGGCCCGCCAACCCGCCTTGGCGGGCTCGGGCTGGCAAAATGCCAGCCCGCCAAGGTGCGGGCTACTTCAGCCCGCACCGCATTTGGCCCGCACCGCGGCGGGCTGGCCCGTATCCGCACCGCCAGCCCGCTTTCCCAGGTCTACTTTTCACTCCCCTTTCTCCGCTGTTCATTTCCTTGCACCTTTTTTTGTTTTAAACACAACGATCCTATTTTCCTCAGGGCAAAATAAAAAAGTTAAAACAGTTTCTATTCTGTGGCTTGTCTCCTACCCTTTTCCCCCCCCCCCCTCCTTTTCAAGGCTTGTCTCCTACTAAAAAGTAAAAACCATGCAGCTTGATATTTTTAAGCCATATGGCATCCATCTCCCTCCACAGATGCCGACACCCCCCTTTTTTTTCACTAGACCACGTATTTCGTTTGAATTCCGCTTTTAAAAACAAGACATGTTTATAGAACACGTAACAATTCAAAAAAACACCGAGTAATTTTGCAGGTGATCCAATACATGCATTTGCAAGGACCAAAATATCAAAAAAAAAAAAAAAAGATCAAATACCGTCCAACAAACTTGGGCGGATTGGGTAAAGTCCCACTGCTGGTTAGATTATATACCACTTGCCGGGAAGCAAAAACGTGTGTTTACTAGTTCCCGTTCTTAGAATTCATTACTTGTGTGGATATTGACTTTCACCCAAATATTATAGACTTTATAGCTTTACGGGTCAAACACATATCCTTCTTTAAATTAAAAAAAAAAAATCTTTTTCCACTCTAAAACGTTCAGTTAATTACTTGATTGAAATTTGAACCTACCAGCATAGAAAAAAAATAAAAAAAAATAATAGCAGTGGTGATGATAATTAATTAGAACCTGCCAGGACAGCAAAGGAAGAAATCACAATAAAAATAATAAAAGTGGTAATAATAATTAATAAGGTATAAATAAACTTCCGTTTTCAAGGTAAAATTAGAAAATGGAAGAAAAACTAAACACTTTGAAATTTATGGCAGAAATTTTGCAGTGTAATTATTGACATGACTTCACCGCGGCTAATCTTTTCATATGAAAGGGCTTAGATAACCATACTAAATATTACTACTGATTACTAGTTACAAGATAACTAATTGACTCCCAGTAAGTAAGATGTCTTATTAGATTATGGGTCACGCAGTTATCTGAAATATCTTGCAAGCTAATTATCCACTAGTTGAGTATAACAGATGTAATAACTCATCACTTGTTTTGCAAGGTAGGGTCTGGGAAAAAAAACTGGAAGAAGAAAAAAGAAGAGTAAAAAAGAAAACCTGAGGGCTCAACGCCGAATGTTAGCTGGTCAAGTCAACCAGGATACACGCGCGCACACACCAGTGTTGGATTGTTCCTGTCGTGCTATTGCATGTAATACGACTTTCGGATTTATCACGATGATATATCAGAGTTGTGCTTCAGCGCCTGACGAAGTCCCCATTTGCAATTCTATAATTAGTTCCTCTGACTTGGTTTGTTATTACCGTACTCACCGAAGGCCAGGTCTACGTACGTGTTTGTTTTGTTACTGAGATTATCTGTTTATGGATTTTAATTCGGAAAAAGGAACTAATTTGTGTATCATTAATCCGTTCGATTCCCCCCCGGAGAGAAAACTACTGATAACAAGAAATCAGTTTCGGTACTTATCAATAAACACCTTAAACTTATCAACTCTAAACTATTCATCCGTTCGATTCCTCTCGTATGAGGAGAATTACTGATAATGAGCAACTAGTTTCAGTACTCATCAATGAGCACTTTAAACTTATCAGATCTGGATTATTCATATCTCATTTGGATGATTAGCACTTGATTTCTTTTTTATTTTTTTTTCAAAATAATTATTTTAATATGGATAAAATCTAAATGAAGATAATCTCTTAACAATTATTTTTTTAAAATAGTTTTTTATTTAAAATAATTAATTAAAAATTTCAAATCTGGACGGTTCAAATTAGATATAGACAGTTTAGATTTAATGAGTTTAGAGTACTCATTAAAATAATGAGCAAGAAAACTGGTTTCCTGCTAACAAAAACGCTGAGGAACAATGGAATAGCTAATAATAATCCCCGTCTTCTGTTGTCCTGGGCAGGGGTACTTGATTCATTAATTTAATTATTTAATCAATTGATAATTGGTTCGTGGAAATATACATACCGCGTATGGTCATGTCCTATAAACAAAGGACGTGGTAACCACTTTAAGTTGCTCGTCCAGCACCAAGTTGAGAGGTCACATATATAGTTTGGTACACAGAGACCTCAAGTTTATGTTCAACTTTCCGTGGCTTGCAAATAAAGGGGTCTTCGAGTTCGACTCAGATTATCATTGCTTCAGCTCACATATGGGGAGACAAAAATGTCAGCACAGAGCTAAAGAGCTCTTGAAAAGCTATGCCTCATCTCCTACAGAAATCTTCTACCTCCTCACCCTCACGCTTCTCAGCCTCCTCCTCCCGCTCTCGTTTCTTCTACTGGCCAGACTCTCCGGCGCCCAATACCATCTTCAATCCCTCATCACTTGGTACCGTTCGCCAAACCCGCTTCCCTATTTCTTATATCTCGCTCTCCATGTCAACCCTGCCATTCTCTACGTTCTCGTCTCATTTGTCAGCGTGGCCACTCTGATCCGCGGCTTGACCGGAAAAATCACCCTTTTCAGCGACTCATCTACCTCCGTTGACCGGCCTCGTCTCTTCACCGCGTGGGTTCTCCTCTGCACTTTCCAGGTCTGCGTTGGTCTGGGCATTGAGGGGAGCATAGCGGCGGGACTTTATGACTCTGATTCGAGTTTTGGGGTGGAGCGGAGTTTGCTGAGCAGAGTGATTTTTCTCATGGGATTGCACGAAACGATGCAGCTTTGGAGCAGAGGGGTGGTGAAGCCGGTTGTGGATGACACGGTGTTCGGCGGGGTTGACAGAAAGGAAAGATGGACGGAGAGGGTGATCATGGCGGCCAGCCTGGGTGGTTTGTGGTGGTGGAGGTTGAGGGAAGATGTGGAGACGTTGGTGGTTATGGCGGAAGCAAAGAAAGAGCATTGGATGGAAGTGGGAATGGCGGATTTCGTGGGGTGGTGGTTGTATTATCTGACCGTCACGATTGGGATGGTGAGGGTGGTGAAGGCTCTCATGTGGATGGCTTCCCTTTGTCTGCGCGGAACAAGCCCGTCGGAGATTGCTCCGGTTGAATCCCGCGACAACGATGACAAGGTGTAAATTAATTTGATCCATTCTAAAATTTTATTTCTTTTCTCAAATGAATTCTTTATCTGCCCGTCCACATTTGACATCCTTCGGACGTTATAATATTGAAATTCGCTTTTGCAAATGCAATAAATTTGCATACAGTCGTGGCTCTCACCGGGAAGGTTCAAAGGCACAGTTTTTTTTTTCTTTTTTTAAGGCCACAAAATTTAACAAGTTATTCAATCAGATCCCTGAATATTACTAACTTTTTATGACATCATACACTTAAATAACCCAATGACGAGTACGGGGAAAAAGAAGACATTAGACGCTAAAATTTTAGCGACAGATTTTTTTCAACATGGATATTAAATTAAGAGAAAACTGTGAAAAAAATCCCAGATCAGCAAAATATTTAGGAAAAAGACCAGACTCATGGAACATGGGGAAAAAGTTAATCCTTTTCCGCAATTTTCCCTTAAAATAAATAAACCAGTATGATGCATTACACTAATTACAGCGCAATTGGTAATGGCGCGTTGACGGTGTCAAAATTCAGAAGTGCGTCAGAAATCGTGCTCCCGGCAAGCAAATGCTAATTCTTACATGTCTCCCAGTAAATTATGGGATGAATATAATATTGGTTGAAAAATTAAAAGATGTTGGGATTCAAGAAGTTACAGGATCAAATTTAGTGAAGTGTTTTTCTTTAGAATTAGTCTAAGCTAAAAGATCAAAGTGATCATTTTTGCTAATGCGATGAAAATGAAAGTATAAACACTCCCACTAACACATGGATAAGACCATCATTCTGTTTTTTTTTTTTTTTTTTGGGGGGGGGGAGAAGATGACCATAGATCAGGAGAGTCGTTATAAACTTGTAAGAGAACATGCTATTAGCAAAACGGGGGCCAAGAAAGACAAGGTTTGGTAGGCCCAAATAGAAAATGGGCCCCACCCAGCCCATAGCTAGATAATAGCCTGGCTTAGGAGGTGGCATTTTTTATTCCCTACAGACAGCCCAGCATCATGTTCTCCTCATTCCGCTTGCGGGAGCTACTGGTTTCTTTTGTTAAGCCCATGACTTTCACTAACTTGATATATTTTTCCATTGTGTCGTGTCTTAACAAGCGGTTTGTGGCACGTGGTACCTCTAACCAGGCATCTGATTTTCACGGGTAAAACTAGAACGTGCATCTCTTCTTGCATCTCTTTTCCTACAAGACTAGAAACTACAGCAGAATTAGTAGTTTATAATCTGGTGAGACTTTTAGTATGCTCCGCCTTGTTTCTTTTTAATGCGTATTCTTCGGTCGCCCGCCGATTCCAACTCGTGATTTAACAATTGAAAGCATTACGATCTCACCAGCAAATCCTAGGTTCAATGATACATTTTCAGAAAGCAATGTGTTTATCGTTATGCATATCACGCTAACTATATTCGGCCATCCCATTTGCAATCGACCCAAAGAGAAAAATGGATCCTGCCATATCAAACACAGACAAGAGAGTCATTCTCTATGCAGGCGCATCTGCTTTTATTTCTATTTTTTTCACCTAACTTAACTGTACTTCGCAAAATGTAGCGCTCCGCCAGTTCCGATGTTGCTTGTTGTTCCCCAAGATGACACGTCAAAACAAAATCTGACAATGTCATAATTTCCTTTTTTTATTTCACCAGTGTCTCTCCTAGAACAACAGCCAACAATATTATATGCTTGCAGAGGTATGACCTCGTATTTGAAGAACACACTAGTTGTCAGTGCATACTTCATTTTTCGGCAGATAAAGTCACTTTGTTGTTGCTCCTGAACCGCTCCCAGTCACGCTGGGCGGAAGTTCTTAGGAAAACTGATATAATACTAAAGTTGTTCCTTCCATTTCATTGGAATTTTGCAGCTGTTTCAATTACGACAAACTGAGAAGTACCAGATCCACGATGGTAAGGCGGACTGTTCCATCAATCGTCTTCTAGTCATAACTAATCGCTGCGTGACGTTTGTATGGCGTCAATGGTTCTCTTAAAGGTGCAAGGAAAAGATATATACGCATATAAAGTAGTTTATGATATCTTCAAAGCATATACAGCACTTTCCTTTAATTTTAATTCGAATTCATAACACAATCCTCATCAAGGTGATGCTTATGGCGGTAATTGTAGGGAGTTACAATTAAGATATTGTCTCTCTTTGACTTCTTGTACGGAGTTAGAATCAAGATTGTGTCTCTTTGACTATTGTTAACTCCCTACAATTACAAGGACATGACTTTTAAAAAAACCCATCCTTTTATTTTCAGAAATATTCCAGCTGGATATCCATGTATCACCATCAAAGTATTACGCAAACCTTTAACAATTCCCCATTATTTTATTGGCAACGGAGCTTCTTCATCCGTATTTATTACCTTTATTCCCTCGCATCAGACCGTGAGCAAGATCTAGATGAGGACATTTTCTTGAGTGCTAAATTGCTAAAACCACTTCTGGTTTGTCACAATCCGACATGGGGGACGATGCAGCTCTGAATTGCAATGGAACCCAGGGCGGTCATAAGTTTGCACCAGAGGAGGCTGTGTTCCACGAGGGAAACAGTCTTCTAGACATGAAATTTACAGAAGAGATGAATGCTCTCCCTATCGAGAATCATGAGAAAGAAACATATTCACATCAAAATCGAAGTCATGAACCTAAATTTGACGACTTGATGCTGGAAGAGTTCAGCTTTGACTTTCTTCTGCAACCGCCACAAGCGTTTGAGGAAACGGTTGAGGTAAACAATAAAGCAGTGGCGAGTTCTGAATCCGTCAAGTACAACGATAAGCCAGTCCCTCCAGCATCTTCAATCCTGGCTTCCTTGGAGCTCTTAAACAATTACAAAAGCAGGCTCAGGAGACTGAAGGGGCAAAATATCAACGACACAACCGAGACTGATTGCTCAGTGGGTCGCCAGAAGTTGTCGACTGCAGAAATAATAAGAGTCACTGGAGAAAGGTACGTCCAATTCTCAGCCTATTGGGACGATAATACTTGCATGCCTACGCACCCATATGGGTTTGGTCTGGGTGGTCTGTCTGACGAAGAGAACAAAGACGTTGAACTGGCTCAATTTCTTCTAACTGCAGCCGAGAGGGTAAGCTGCGAACAATACGAAGGAGCAAACAGGATCCTTTTACAATGTGAATTGAATTCATCCGCTTGTGCAACCCCAGTTCAGAAAATAGTCTACCATTTCGCTCAAGCTCTGCGAGAGAGGATCCACAAGGAAACAGGAATGGTAACAACACTCGACGGATATAAGAAAACCGAAAGGCACGAATTACTTGAGAAGATCAATTATAATTTACCGTTTATATCTACATGCTTCCGAAAGATTCCATTCTGTCAAGCAATGCAAATAGCCGGCGTACAGGCTATGATAGAGCACCTCGCGTCAGGGACCAAAATCCATCTCATCGATCTTGAAATCAGATGGGGAGTGCAATGGACGGCTCTGATGCAAGCCCTCGCGGAGCGTCGTCAAAGACCCCTTCAGCTTCTCACCATAACTGCTATTGGATTCGAAGGCAGAAACGAGTTAGAAGAGACAGGCGAGTGTTTAGCCGATTTTGCAGGATCCTTAAACTTGCCCTTCTCATTTAAAGTGGTTTTTGTGACGGACATGATCGAAATCAGGGAAGAACAATTCGAGATCAATGACGATGAAGCCGTAGCGGTGTACGCTCCCTGCGTTCTGGCGACAATGATACCAAGGCCAGAGTGCTTGGAAAACTTGATGAGCATACTGAGGAAAAAGAAACCACGCATAATGATAGTGCATGAGACGGAAGCAAACAGTAACTCGCAGTTCTTCGGGAAGCGCTTCGTGGAAGCGTTGTTCTTCTTCTCGGCTTATATTGATTGCACTGAAACATGCATGAAAGATGAGGCAGAATGCAGAGTGGCTATGGGTGCTTTATTCAGCGACAGGATAAGGAACGTTGTGGCCAGGGAAGGCAAAGAAAGGACACAGAGGCATGTGAAGGTGGATGTTTGGAGAAGGTTCTTTGCGAGGTACAGAGTGGTGGAGACAAGTTTTAGCGAATCGTCGCTGTACCAGGCAAACTTGGTGATCAAGAATTTTGCACACGGCGACTCTTGCACTCTCGGTAAAAATGGCAATAGTCTAACAGTCGGGTGGAAGGGAACCCCACTCCACTCTGTTTCTGCTTGGAAATTCCTCTGACGAAACGAAACAAGATAATACGGAGTTCAGCACTTTCTTCAACTGTAAACTGCAATAACAACATCTCTTGGTGCATTTACCCAATGATTGTCTGTGCATTCTCCTAGTAAATAAACTTGGGAAGGCTTAACCTTGTGGTTCCGAGTCTCAATGCTACTGAGTGGTACGAAAACTACCGAGTTCGTGCATTTTGTCTCCTCTCCTAATTTACTGATCTCAAATAAATGACCCAGTTCGTTCCCCTCCCCCCCCTAAAAAGAACAAAAGTTTGTGTAAGTTAAATATGGAAGCTCAGCAAGTTCATGACTTACAAGTTCATTACTTTAATGAGTATTCTAAACTCATCAAATTTGAAAATTCATATTTAATTTTTTTTTATTTTTATTCATTCAAAATAATTATTTTAATATATACAATCTAAAATAGAAATAATCTCTTAACTATCATTCTTTTAAAAAATAGTTTTTTATTTAAAAATAATTAATTAAAAGTTTTAAATCTGAAACCTTCAAATTAGACATAAACAGTCTAAATTTAATAAGCTTAAAATACTCATTAAAATGATGAGCATTGAAACTGATTCGTAAAACTCAAATAATTTGGTTCTTTACCATGTAAGTTATTATGATATTTTGGGATTTTCTTGATTACAAAGTTTTTTTTAATTAGTTACACGCCTTTTCAACGAATGACTTGGGTAGTTTTGGATCGAGATGGGCCTAAAATGACTGTGCTTGTCTTGACAAGCCGAAAGATACTGGCCGGTTTCAATATGATTTTGTCATTGTGTTTTTTTTTTAAAAAAAAAATTATAGGGATGAATATGAAAAGCTTATTTTTCAGGACCATTTTATGATTTTTAACGGGTTCTCCCCTTCAAATAACCCAATCATTTTAATCCCACTACTTCGATATAAAAATATCTTTTATTTATTAATTTAGACAACGTATTAATTTTAGTATTATCCAATGATTATTAACTGTCGACCATTTTTATTTAAAATTGATCATGCTGTAAATGATTGAGTTAGTTGATATTTAAGCATTTAAATTTCCTATTAAAAAAGATTAGCACTTCACAAGTAGATGGGGAAACTGATTATTGTGCTCAGCAAAGTTATTATTCGGGTGAAAAATGAAAAGGATATCAACAGAATAAATGCTTCCCGCCTAAGACTTTTTTTTTTTTTTAATAAAAACCCGCGCACGACTAATAATGTATCTAACATGCGCGAAATCAGTTAAGAGCTTTTCTTAATAGCTCAAGTTAATTAGCAGCAGCTGAACATACAGAGACTCCATACGCAATAACGCATGTGCGGTAGAAGACTCGGAGTGCGATTTACGAAAATGTAAATGCAAACGCGATGAACGAGACTTCTTGTGGGCAAAAAAGGAATCTGCTAAAACTCCGAACCAAACACTGCCTAGTGATTTCCCAGAGTGGCCCTGCGATTTGCGTACAACGTAAATGCCGCATAAAACGGTCCCCGAAATTACGTTGAGTTCCGCGGTAGGCCATGTCACTCCTCACCCCCTACAGCAAACGTGTCAGTCTTAAAGGTCTAAAGCGTTACTTTCTTGCATATTTGAGTGTATCTCGCTCCGTTCACTTCATCAACTCGCAGAGCAGAGCAGAGCATCCATGGTGTCCAAAGCAGCAGACTCTGCGATCAAACTAAGAGTCAGTTTTTCTTTTACTTCCCTTATTTTTCTCTCCATTTCTTGAATTGAATAATTCGCCTGGCTGCTCTCTCTCTCTCTTAATTTTCTCGGAATTGGAATCATGTTGTTATCTCAGTATTCAAATTCAGATAATCACGCAAAATTCTCAATCTAATCGGATAGTAAAGATTGATACCCAAAGGCTTTCGTTTTCCTGTGATCTCTATCTCCAACAATTGAGTTCAGGTGTAGGGCTTCCCCATAACGTGCTTCTTAAATCCAGCTCTATGATTAATCTGGATAATTTCTTTGAAGTAAACGGATAGTTTTTCTCCTACATCGATTGAGAATTTAACTTTAAACAAGTTACTTGCAATTTTTGGTCGGGCAGCCAAACAAGCTAATCAGAGACAGGGGAAGCTTTTGTAGAATCTTTTTATTCTTGGGTTAATTTTTTTATCTTGTGTTTTTAACCAAATCATGTTATTGATATTACTGCATTTTTCCACAGAAATCACATGGACAGCCAGCTAATGATGCTGTTGGAACCTTGTCAAGCAAGATTGATCAGCTTGAAAAGCAAATCCAGGCGGAGAGATTCGTATCAATTAAAGTAAGTTGCCCTGTGGAAAAGGGAATGTGGAAATTTTGCTTTTATTATGGTACTTTTGTTGATGTGCTTTACGGTCAGATACTTCATTATGTATTCATTGTTAACGGAGGGAATTTGCACCGATCTTCTAGTAATATTTAGTATTCCCCACCAACTCATTCTTGTTGAATTATCATTTTTCAGTTCAGTTGTCTTTTGAGATTTTCTGGGGTAAACTGGACAGGACCAAAGCTTAATATGAATTGTCAAACTACAACACGCAAATCAACTACAAGGGTTTCACAAAAGATCCTTTTTATATTGTGGTGAATTTATTGACCACGTGGCTTTTCAATTTCGTGTGTGGGTTAGGACTACAGCATCATTTCTTGCTCAACTATGAAGACCTATTTCTGTACGCCTTACATGTTTGCTCGCAACTAATTCTTGATTTTTAATAGGAAAAACTATTGAGGAATGGCAAGAAGGTACAATGTCATGTTTCCCATGTTGTCTCAGCAATATCAAAAAGAGATTCTTTGCATACACAGGAAAATAGGATTAATCAAATGCTTTCTTCAAGAATTGACCATCCTCTATTTAAGTTCAATGCTTTCTCTCAAGGTTCTGGTGACAAAGATCTCAACAACAGTCTAGATGTGATTTTTACAGCGAGTATCAAGATGCCTTATATCGAAAGATTACCACCATACACATCTTGGATATTTTTGGACAGGTGCATATCCTTATAAATTTCATTTATTTCCTGCCCAGTTGTGCATAATGTGGATTTGTGGGTAATAAAAATGCCTACTTGTTGAGTCTGATCCCTTTTTTGATTAGAAGCTTGGATTATAAAACCTTTACCAGTCCATATGCAGATAGTACTGTTTCTTCTGCTATTTTACTATCTTTTACTCACAGAACAGAAATCAGAGAATGGCTGAAGATCAGTCTGTAGTAGGCAGAAGGCGTATCTACTACGATCAACATGGAAGTGAAGCGTTGATATGCAGTGACAGTGAGGAAGAGCTAACAGAACCTGAGGAAGATAAGCATGAATTTACTGATGCTGAAGATCGAATTTTATGGTAAGTTAAAATGGAGATGCAAGGTTTGAATGAACAAGATTTTTTTTCCCCTGGAGGAGCTGTTTTTAAGTGCATATGGGTTTGCAATATGAATCCTTTATTGATGCGTCAAAGTCAAAGTGATATTATTCCCATCATGACCACACAAGATATTCAATTCTGAATATAAGTTCATAGGTGTTTCAAAAAATATATAAATATCGAAAGTTTCATAATCATTGTCTAACTCTCTGATATACTAGGATGGCATTTGAGGAATATGGGTTAACTGAGGAAGTATTGGATGCTGTGAGCGAGTCTGTTGGAGGTACTAGACAGGAAATTCAGGTGACTCTGAATAACTTATGGACGTGGATTAAAGCTTGATGGTTGTCGCTTTTAATTAATTACTGGAAAAAGTATTGTGCGAAGTAGTTATAATAAGTATCCCTTCTTATCTGATAAAAATGTTTTCATGATAATATGCAGGATAGGTACAAAATTCTTAGGGAAAAAAACATGGAGAGGCAGGACCAGGAGTCTGAAAGTTCTGGAGATGTTGAATCTCGGATTGGCATAAGTTTGGAGGAAAGCTTGAGTACTGCTTTAGATTCTTTTGATAACCTTTTTTGTCGCCGATGCATGGTACGTGCTTCATTATTTCTTTAACATTCTGGACATCTTCATAGTGTGAAAAATGATTGGTTAATATATTTTTCATCTTTTTTTGGGGGGCTTTTCTTCAGCAGATGTTTGATTGTCGCCTGCATGGATGTTCTCAACCCCTAATATATCCTGTAAGTGAGCACTATATGTTTTTTGCTACTTAAACCATAGATAGACCATCCATAAAAAAATTTGATCGTTTGTTTGGCAGAGTGAAAAGCAGCCAGTTTGGTTTGAACATGAAGAGGACAGGAAGCCATGCAGTGATCAATGTTACCTAAGGGTATTTTTCTTCTTTGTCCGAGATGTCACTGACTTTTCTTCTTTTGATACCAGAACAAATGAAACCACATACTTATTTTGATTTCAAAGAGAAGAAGAAGAAATGAGGTGTGGTAAATTAGTTTTTCTCTTCTGGCATTCCATTTGAAAATTGTTTCTTTTGTCAGTGGGATTGGGATTAGTATACATATTGAACAGAATGGTGGCCTATCTGTGTTAAGCAATTTATACATTTGAATTGCCTGCAAGTCTCATAAAAACGTTTTCACAAGGAATGTGCACATCAAATAGATCACTCAAAATGACATTGCTGAATTGCATCAATAAGACATGCTTGTTACTTAATTGCTGCAGAACCATTATATTCAAGTTTTCTTGTGTGGGTAGGCTTTATTGCCAACTTTTGGACTGAACTATTAAGAATGTCACCCCTTTTTATCAAACATGTTTGATGGGCAAAATTTGGCTGACTGCATTTTCTTTTGCTTGCAGTTAAAGGCTGAGAAAATTTTGGAGGGAAATGAAGCCACAACTATGGAAGAGGGAGTATTGACTTTGGCATCCTCTGGTGCAGCAGAACTGGGAAACAAGAGTACTGCAACTACCTTGGTGGAGGAAAGATGCAATTCTATGAACGCAACACCTTTCCCAGTGGAAGTTGCTGGCTGTGGAGGTCTCAACTTAAATGTGCCTGTTGCAGAGAGTCTGGGGAAACGGAAGACCAT